TGCTTCATCATAACCTGGCCACAAATTTTTGAATTACACAAACCATAACTTGAGAGGACTTGTTCAATTGTTGTTTTAAGGTATCTAGTTAATGTCTAAGGAATATATACAATGCCCAAAAAGCGTTCAACTATTTAACCTTATTCATTTACATATTGTATCACAATGGTAATTTGTTCTTTTTCCAATATCACAAGATTCATCTACCATAATGAAGAAGAAACCATCATCAACTTCCTTATTTTTGAAATTTGTTATTGCAATCGCATCAACTCTAATAATGTCTTTTTGAATCTTAGGTGCAGTTAACTTTAAATTCTTAGGAACATTTTTTGGTACAACATTATTTATGTCTTGAATTTGGAAGACTCATCAGGTCATTGAAAAGCCAATCATTGTCTTAAAAGAAACCTCACACAATCAACATAAGTATTTATACGTGTACGCTATGCAATTGTAGCACGATCAAATTGCATCTATAAAGAAAAAATAATATGTTGACTCTATTTCATTAAGTCCTCATAATTTCCTCGTGCATTATTATGAGCATTAGTAAGGCCTCCAACATGAAGTTCAAATGTATCATGTTTTTTTTTTCAATTTGAAAATCCAATTTTGTTAAATGCCTTATCTTCTTCTTTTCCTCTTCCTTTAGTTCTAAAAAATAATAACATAAAATATATGCTATGCTTTTATGTATACTACACTTTAACCAACTAGAGTATCTATCAAACCAACTCAAAATAAAACGTTTATATTTAGCCTAAATTTACTTTTAAGGAAGTTGTGATTGTGAGGATGATATGACCCTCTTTACAAATATGAACTTCGAACCTGATCTTAAATAGTAGAATTAAATTTAGAAATAGATAGTCGTAATCTTAGATCTGATGGAAGATTTTCTAGATCTACTTTCAAAATTTTTAACAACACGATCTCCACTTGACTCTGTTTTTTATTTCGTTCCTATTCAATTTCTTTTGTTTCATCTGAATTTGTAGGTAAAATTTATTTTGATAATTAAAAAAAAAATCTCTTTCATAGCCATAAGAACCTATAAGTTGAAAAGAAGAAAAAAATGGAAAAAAATTTCAGGTTCATCAAATTAATTTTCAACAAAGAAAAAAAGATAAAAACAATCGAATTTACTATAATTTCAAATGTGATGACTATCATTGGTACTTAATGTAAGTGTCGATATCAGCTTAGAGAAAAACAATGATAGTAGTTTAAGTGCTTTATAAGATGGTTAATTAATTACATGACAAGGTTTAAATCAAAAAATATCTTTGAGGCGTACTCATAAAATATGATGGGATTCTTATTATGAATCACTTGTTAAATTGATCTTTATATTTTTCTTAGTAATTGATGTGCTATAATTTATTTTGAATGATAGCATAAGCTCTGAACAGAAAATGAAGTTTTTACATTATTAGAATCATTACAATCTTTTGAATTTTCTTTTTTCCAGTACATAATAAAGATAGGAATCACTATTAAATTATTATAAGCTTCACAAAGAAAAGAACAAGATATTATAAATGATATTTCATTAGTTCATATATCTAAAATGAGATTACAAGATATGAAATATAACAAATGGGGAGAACTTCATTAGTAAAGTAATTTTATTTTGTGATCAACAAAAAAATTTACTCTAAATTTAAAAGATAAATAGGTTGCTCATGAACGCCCTCGACATAGAGATAAAAAATGACCAATATGCATCATTGTCGACTTGAGATATATTCTACACAAACATTAATATATAACTTTAAGAGTTGAATAATCATTTTATGGAGGCAAACACTAAATTACTTTTGTGAGTTTTGATTGGATTCATATAATTCATTTTATGCATTCAACAAAGAAAAATTAGTTAGAATATCACACATATATCTATTTGATTTAGCTCATTTAGAGTTAATGATCCTTAATAATCAATTGAAAACTTACGCTATAAATATACGGTATGATGCATAATTTTCATTTTTAAAAGATATTTGAAATCATGCCGAGAAAATAATTCAGAGTAGACATGATACTTTATATCCCCTTATTTTTAGACTATTAAAATTGACATTAATACTACTCATTACAATAACAGGAGTTGAAAGAGCATTTTCTATAATGACTATCATAAAAAAATTGACTACAAAACAAAATTGGAAATCAGTAGATGGATGATAATTTAGCCACTTATATTAAGAAATAAATAATGTATTATATTGATAATGAAGTTATTATTCAACTCTTTCAAAATAAAGATCTGACGCTATAAATTGTAAGTATTTTTATCTAATATTTAATATTTTATTTTTTAATAATAAATTCAACTAAAAAAATAAAAATGTCAATGCTAATCCTAATCTTGAATGAAAAAAGTTGAGGGAAGTTTTTAAAAACTTAAGATGGGCCTCACTATAAGAAATTTATGGCTCCACCACTGGTTATTCGATCCACTATCAAATCTAATGTGCCTAGTCCAACAATTTCATCATCAAATATCAAGTATAAAATTAGACCTTTAGATGATATCTATTGAAAGCCAATAAAGGCACCTGAAGTGCATGTTATTAATGGTATGAATCAAATGGCCTAATCTTAGGCTAAATATTAGGTCGATGATAATCTAAATTTGATGGGTTGATATAGCTCAAACATTCCAAGATTGGAGGAGATAATATTAGGCTTCATTAAGATCAATGCAAGAATTGACAAAAATCTTATTATAATTAAATGACTATGTTTAAAAGGACCAATATTCTATTAAAGCCTAATCGCATACTAGAAATTCCTAAACAAATCATGATGACTTTGCTTGAATGACTTAAACTAATCAAGGTTCAATTTTATGTGGGAATATCAAACATACTCTAATCTCATTTGTAAACAAACAACCACTCATCATTATTTTCATACATTACATTAACTTTATGATGCAAGTAAACATAAGGAAAAAAAAATTAAATGAATTTTTATATGCAATGACTTAGAGAGTACACCTTTTGATGATCTCTATAATAGGTTTAGTGGAAAGGAGGAAATGAGATATATAAAATAACTAAGATAAGAGATAAATGTTCTAGAAAAATTGGATCAAATAAGAAGCATTAGTAGTGATGATAATAGAATATCGGTTTAAAATAAGATATCAATAAAAGAAGAAAATGTTATTTTGAAATTTTAATAAATGAGAGTTTTATTAAATAAATCATTTGGAAGAGCACAATGAATAATATAATAAGGTACATTATACTTTTATCTATAAAATGAAGTGAAATTAGTTCTAAAGAATATGCATAAATGCAATTTTTACATTCCAATAGAAACCTACTAAGATTTGAAAAGTTAAGGAAAATACAACAATGATCTAATTACCATAGATTTTTAATAGACTTTTGAAAAATAACATAGTGAAAATTTATTAGATAATCAATATTTTAATAGTACTATTGAAGTAGTAAGAAAATGTTCAAGATTGCTCTAATTATAGATGAATGAAATTTATAAGTCATATAATGAATCCATGATAGATAATAATTGAACATAGACGCAAAAATTATGCCAATTTTGGAAAAATAATTTGATTTCATGTTAGAGTGATCTATTATGAAAATGATTTTTGTGCTAATAGAATTAATGAAAAAGTATATAGAGTAAATAAATGATACTTATGTATTTTTATTAATACTGAGAAGATATATGATCAAGTATTATGATATTTAGTTAGTGTGCAATAAGGTAAAAAGTATGTACCAAAGGTATGTTAACATAATTCAAGATATTTATGATAGAGCATCAGCTGATATTATAAATAGTCATGGACTGATCAAAAAATTTTCAAGAACAATGAGATAACATAATATATTAATATTGAGTTCAAATCTTTTTGTATTAACAATAGAGACAACTACAAAGTATATTCAAAGTAAGGCTTCGTTTGATTCGGTTTATGCTTACATAAAAAGGAGTTTTAGAAAAGGAGGTTGAGAAAAAGCCGTTCAATAAAATGGAGTTTCAATAATGAGATATGTTTGACTAATATTTTTAAAAGTGCTTATTAATACTTGAAAGTAATTTTAAATTGTTTGTTTAGGAGTTCTGCTTTTGAGATTTTATTATTTAATACTTGAAAGTAATTTTAAATCAGTAATTCGCTTCTGAAACTCCGTTTTGTGACCGAAGAAGCAGATACAAAAAGAATTTTGTAACCGCCGAAAAAACGATGTTTATTAAAAAGGAATTATTGTTAAGCTTTGATTCCAAACAATAAATACTAATTGATTTCGACGTATTCAAACGAAAACGGAGAAAAAAAGCCTTATCAAACGAGGCCTAAGAAGCATTGGCGTAAGCTTTTCACAAATAATATGGTTTTAATCGGTGAGACATCCAATGAAATAAATATAACATTAGAATCATTAAAAAAATAAAGTCTTAGAATTAGTAAAACAAAGGTTAAACATGATATGTAATTCTAGTTGTTGTGACATTAAGAATTATCAATCAATATTATTGGAAACTAAAATGACACTAAAGTGTGATAAGATCAAGCATTTTGAATCTATCATATGGTAAAATGAAGATATAGTCAAAATGAAAAAAAAAATATCTAAAAAAACATTATGCAAAAAGAAGATATTATAGAGGTTCAAAAATAAGTGTTATAAAATTGCATTTAGGCTGACATTACTGTATAGATCTGAGCATTACCATGAAAAAATTCATTGATACTTTAAGCTGATGGAATTCTCGTTAACTATGTCAAGCATTAAAGATGATAGACATCCTCTATTTTTTTCCCTTCAATATATAGCTATTAAATGATCACATCTAAACCATACCAAGCTTTCCACATGGAATCCAACTGCGGCATTAACTTGTTAAAACAAAGAACCTCGCTAACAGAATACACTCCGATAGCGGAATAAAAAAAAACATGCAAAAAAAAAAGAAAAAAGAGAGATTGTCTTAGATCGAAGGCCAATATATACCTCACTTCAGGATTGATGCAAATGTTTCGAATAAGCTGGAAGCCGCAGATCCCCACGGCAGCCCCAACCGCAGCAAAGAGCGGATAAACCTATATTCGTAAGTCACTGAAACTCAGATCAGCAAGGAAATATAGCCGATTTCTCGAACATCAAGCGATGAAGTTGAAATATTGATAAGATTAGATCCGTAAAACGAAGATTGAGAAAAGAAAAAGATAATCAAAACGTGAAGACAGCTGCTCGCAGATCTATAGCAATCACGAGTAACGAGGACGGGAGGTAGAAAGAGACCTCAGGCCTCAGCCAACGGTTGGCAGCGGCAGGAGCCATGGAAGATTGACAGTCGGAGACAAAGGCGACGAGGAAGAGAAAGTGGTTGCAATTGGTAAATCTGCTTTCTTTAGACCCAATTTAATATAAGATTTTTCTTCTAAGCGGCACTCCTAAGAGTTTCTTTACTCAATTAATTGGACTCTGCCCTGGATATTTTCAAGAAGGAAAGAATTTATAATAATGAATTTATATTAAAATTACAATTAAAAAAAATAAACTATAAAATTTAAATATCAAAGAAATATTAAAAAACATCCTACCAAAATAGAATGGAAATAGGCTTAGAAGTAAATTCGACTTGTTGGTGAATATCTTATATTTTTTCCTTCCAATTATAATAATTCATAACAAAATAATAAGCAGTAAAAAAAAAAATCAAAAGGTATAAGGTTCTTTATTAAGAGATGGAAGTGATTTTCTTAGGCCTCATTACATAAAATATGAGAGGAAGCGCTATGCCTATGGTAGCAAGCTTATCAATGTTTTAAGACCTTTAATACATTGGCATCCAATAGAATAAAGAAACCTTTAAGGAGTATCATTTAAGTCAAATAAATTGAGACTAGTGAGAGTTAAGATAATTCAACAACAACAATAACATCAACAACAAACATCAAGCTATTATCCCACTGTGGGGTCGGCTACATAAATCTTTTTTCTCTATTGTGTCATATTAAGAGTCAAATTCTAATTTAAATCTAGCGAATAAAGGTAATTTCTAATATTTTCTAACCAAGTCTTTTTAGGTCTACCTCTATATTTCTTAATACAAATTAAATCTAATACATCTACTTCCTAATTGGGTCATCGAAATCCCGTTCTTTTATGTGGCCAAACCATCTAAGGAAACTTTCTTTAATCTTATCTTCCACTGGAGCTACTCCAACCTTGTCATGTAAGTGCTCATTTAATATCCTGCCTCTAATAGTAAAGACACTCATCCACATGAGCATTCTCATCTCTGCAACAATTAACTTAATATTATGCTTCTTTTTTAATGACAAACATTTTGCACCATAAAGCATTACAGGTCTCACTGCCATATTATAGAATTCTACCTTAAGTTTGAGGGGGTACTTTTCTATCACACAATAAGCCTAATGTGTTTCTCCACTTCAACCATCCAACATGAATTCTACTAATAATATCTCCATCTATTTTTATCATCACTCTGAATAATAGCCCCAAGATATCTAAAATGTGTACTTTTATTAATGACTTGATCACCCAAAGTCATAATCCCCCCCCCACTATATTTTTTATTACTAAAACTATACTCTATATATTTAGTTTTAGATCTACACAAACGAAAGCCTTTAGACTTTAAGGTTGACCTCCATAATTCAAATTCACCGTCAACTCCCTATTAAGTCTTATCAATAAGAAGAATATCATGAACAAAAGCATAGACCCAGGTACAACCTCTTGCAAATATCTAGTGAGAACAACCATGGATAAAACAAAATGATATGGGCTTAAGGATGATCCTTGATGTAATCCAACTAAAATTGGAAAATAATTGGTCAAACCACCTTGTGTTTGAACACAAGTAACAACTCATGCATATATATCATTAATGACTTGAATAAGCATTATTAACCCATTTCTTCTCCAGAACTCTCCATAGCACTTCTCTTGGAACTTTATCATATGCTTTCTCTAAATAAATAAATATCATATGTACATCATCCTTATTATATATATCCTTACTTCTCCATCAAACCTCTCAATAAATGTATAACTTCCATATTAGACCTACCTGGCATGAATCCAAATTGATTTTGAGAAACATTAGTATTATGTTGTAACATATGCTCCATAACTCTCTCCCATAGTTTTGAAGTATACCACATAAACTTAATTCTTCTATAATTCGCACAATCTTGTGCATCACCTTTATTCTTAAAATAAGAAATCAACACACTTGCTCCACTCATCTAACATCCTTTTAGTCTTTAAAATAATATTAAAAGGTTTAGTAAGCCAAGCAATTCATTCATCTCTTAAGCATTTCCACACCTCTATTGGAATATCATCATATCCAATAGCTTGTCCACAATTTATTTTCTTTAAAGCTTCTCTAACCTCGGTCTTACTAATACGCCTATAAAAATAAAATTCTTTATTTTCATTTAGGGTGCTAAGGTCACTAAAGTCAATCACATTCTCATAATCTTCATTAAACAGTTTAGCAAAATATCTCATCGATCTTTGTTGAATATCCCTTCAAATAAAAGCACTTTTTTATTTTCATCCTTAATACACATCATTTGAACTAAATCCTTACTACTCCTATATCTTTGTTTGGTTAACTTATAGATATATCGTTTTCCCTACTTAGTATCTAATTTATTATATGAATCATTAAAAAATAAGATTTTAGCATCACATATATTTTTCTTAGACTTCTTATGGGTCTCTTTATATCTTTTCCAATTTTTAGAATTTTTATATCTAAACAAATTTTTATAATAAAATAAATCTTCCAATTATTTTTATCTTTGCTTATACATTTTGATTATACCACCAACATTTTTTTACTATTAAAATCTTTTCCTTTTAAAACTATAAGCACATTTTTTGTAATATTTTAAATATCACTAACTATTTTCTCTAACATAATCTTATATTCCTCAAGCACATACAAAAATTTTAAGATTTATAATCTTACTCTCAAAAACATTTTTGTTAACATTCTTTAAATGCGCACAACTAATCCTAGAATAATGTTTTACTTTATTTTTTATTTTTTGCACATGCATCTTAAAGTCCAAAACTAATTATCGATGTTAGGTACATAAACTTTTACTCAGAATAATTTTATAATCTTTGCAATCTAAATGATATATTTTCTTATAAGAACAAAAATTAATATGAGTTTTATCATATCCACTCTTATAAGTTATGAGATGTTCATCTCTTTTCTGAAATAAGATATTAGCAATTATAAAATTGTAAGCTAAAGAAAAATTTAATATGATCTTACCACCTTCATTAGTCGCCCTAAATCCATAGCCACCATGAATGCTTTTAAAATCATCTACCTCTCTACCAATATGTTCTTTTAAATTTTCTTTTCCAATAAAAACTCTTTCTTAAAGAGGTATCTTTTATATTAATTATTTTAAGTTATTCCAAAGTTTTAATTTTGAACACATATCCAAACCTACTTGAGGAGCATAAAAACTTATTATATTAAAAATCTTTAAAGCTATAATTCTATCTCTAAGTCTATTAATGTTTATAACATTACCCTTCAAATTCTTATCTATAATCAAACATACACCATTTCTAGTATGATATCTACCATAATATCATACTTTAAATCCTAAAATATTAATATTCTTAATCTTCTCTCCAACCCATTTAGTTTCCTGAATGCATAGAATATTTATCTTCGTCTGAATCATAATATCTATTAAATTCATTAATTTATATGTAAGGGAACCTATATTTCAAGTTATTATCCATATTTTAGTTTCATGGACTAGCTATTTTTCCCACATTTGTCCATGATGTGAGAACCCTTACCTATTTAACACTACAGCCAGACGTCGATGCAACATTCCTTGCACACTTGTCGTTGTATTTAAGATATATAGCATGCCACTTCAAGGAAAGACCCTATCATTAACACAATATATTAAAGAATTCATATCATGAATATTTGATAAGTTTTACACTACTTGTTGACTATATAATGCAACCCTCCATTTTTCTCATTCAAAACTTAAGACCTAACAAAGATAGCGTTTATGTTAAGATAATGCCGAAATAAAATTACCCTAGCTCCCATACAATTTTATCCTAACAT